CTTTTTTGATCGCAAGCTCGTTTCTGCACAAGTTGACCCCGTTATAACTGAAGTCATCGTTTTTCTTTAGAGTAGCCGTGGCCGCGTCTGATTAAACTATTGCATGCAGGTTGTCACAGAATTGAGTGCTTGCACTTTTATCCATCCAGTCTGGTTTAAATAATCATCTACAGGGTAAGAGTTCCTTGGGATCTGAAAAATAATCAGTCCTGATTGCCGTTTACAACCGGCGCGTTTGTTTTCCACCGGTGCCTATTAAATAACCAGAAGTGTCAATATTAGTGAAAATGCGATTCCCAGGTGGCATATCAAATGAAAAGGAGGCGTTCACCGGGAGAGGTGTATTTTAGGTCTGACGTTTCGGATAGTCGTTTCTTCTACCCATCTTCAGAGACTGAGAAGTCATGCACACAGCTTTCCTTTTATGGCGCACTTTGATGCCTGGCCCGCCAATGCCGCCTGTGTGGCTGCATCTGACCCGCATGTCACCAGAAGTGTGTTCCAACGCAACGTGCCCCGTTTCGAAATAGCTCTAATATTGCGGTCTTGCTAAAACACTGATTAGCGCTTTTACGCATTCGGTCCTCTCCCCTTATTTCACCCAGCACACAACTTTCTGCCATTTCCGGTCGTTATCACTCCACTAACCGTTTTTGGGTAGCCGACTAGATTGTAGTAAGCCCCAAACCTGTCCATGGCGCCTATTTCAACACGAATATGTCCACTGCAGTTCGTGAATTCGGAGACCGACTTTCTGAACACAGTGCTGAGGGGATATCAGATTGTGGCAAAACCTATCCGACGTCTCCATATAAAGCCCTCGAAAACTAAACTCTCGCGACCACCATCGGATTCCCCGTGACTGCAAAAATATTATTAATGGCGCTGAGACTAGCGATAGCGGGAATTACTGAATTCGAATCTAGATTATTGAACAGTTCTTAGTGAAATATCTATGCTTCCGCGCACTACTGAGTCTGTTTCACCACCGTGACGAATTACTGCTACGCCAACTGCCTGAAAGTTTGTGAGCTCTTTGATACGCCTGGGTGTATGGCCCTATCCATCACACGTTAATACTGCAGCCCTTTTCGCACTGGCATAGCGGTTGAACCGATCTGCAAGAACTGTGTTCTGTTTCACTTGCTATTAAAGTACATCGGACTGTGTGCCGTCATTCCTACCAATCATCACAAAACAAATTTCTTGTGGTCATCGTAACACTCGAAAACAATCTTTAAATTCATTGTAGGTTATAGTTATGTGTTTGCAATATTAATTTCATTCTGCACTATGCTGCTGCTCAGAGGTCCATAGCATGGCTTTTCTTTGGATTGCGTTTATGGATGAACCGAACTTCCTTCTCCACTTGCCGAGCCCTACGACTGCCTCCTTGTCCCTTTTGCCACTTTTATTGGGAATATGGTTTTGGTTTTCCCCTGCCGTAGGAGATCATCTGTGAATCGCTTGACGCCTACAGTAGTCAGATTGAACAGTTGAAGGCGGAGATGCGAGCCACCGTCGACAGTACCAACGAGATACGTGCCCAGTTGGCTGACTTGAAGTCACAGTGAGTCTTGCCTACCAGCTGACCGTTTTATTTTTGTCTGTTTGCACTCGGCAGTTCGGCCCTCGTTACTGACGATGTCCACCGTATGCCCCACGGCAGGGTGGACGCAGGGACAGGGACTTGCGCTGCGTCTATCGCACTCTCTTCTCCCACCCTGGGAACGGTTGAGTCGAAAAGTCCGGAGGAGGCGGGATCGGGCGCAGGTGGTTGGCGCGTCGCGAGTCTGCGCCTAGACGCGCCACCACGCCGCGTCATGTATGGCATTTGTTACGGCTGCGCACCCCTGTAAGGCGTGCCCGGCCTTCGTGCTGGTCCAGCACAGCCCCCGCGCGACCCGCCGTAGGGGGCACATTTGTACTCACTGCGCACATGACTATTTTAGACGAAACGTTTGAGGGTTTTCTTGTTTGAATTCTTCACGATAAACTGCAACCATTAGTGGCCTTTACACTTGTCTACAAAGCAATTGGCTTTTCTAGTCCATCGGGCCAAACTGCACGGGTGTTGGTTTTGACTGGTCCACTTACTAGATTGTATCTGAGTTACTACAAGGTAGGGAATGCGGTAGTTGACTCATTTTATCCCAATCTACTCCGGAAGCGAGCTTTTTTCTTGAAAATCGATGTGGGTTCCCAAAAAAGGCTATTAACTTACCGATGTGGCCTTCCCAGCCTGGCTTGTGCAGGATAATGCCAGGATATGAAGAATAGACCCAATATCCACTTTATAGATCTCACGAACGTCTTTCGCACCGTGAGCCGAGACGACCTCTTGGAGGTCATGCGGAAAATCGCATGCTGCGAACGGTTCGCAGCGGTGACCAGGCATCCTCATGGGGGCATAGTGAGACGCGTGACAGTCAGTGGTTCTAAACCTCCGCAGTAATTAGGGTTAGCAAGCCTGCGTCGTAGTTTTAACCGTCTTCTGTCGTACTTTTCACAATTCTGATGGTCGTCTGCCGGGAGGATCGAGCGAGCAGCGAATCGACTAGCAAATTGACGGTAAGCTATTCAAAGTATACGGCATTGGGGCCGTCACGAAGGCATCCTTGGTAAGGGCGTATGCCGACTGCACAGTGAGGTGTACACGAAACAAGGTTTGAACCTCATCACTTCCTAACGTAGCAGCTCTTAACTAGCACGCGGAAAACGATTACCACGATAGTTCCTTCCTCACCTAGTTCTCATGTCAGGTCTTTTTGCAGGATATGAGTGCTTCCACCACGAATTGAGCCCAGTGCGTGCAGCATAAGTGGACCTTATGGTGCCAGCGTCGTTGGAGTGTCTAGCTTCGTCATTCGCTCCTCTAACGCCCATTCCCGATCGTGTTGGCTTTCTTTTGCCATGGGAACGCGGTGTGAGGTAGCTACATCGAAATCCTACTTCCACACAAACAACTTCACACGCGTCACGGACGTGCTCAATTCGTTGGGCAGCCATCCCCGTCGCTTGTGACGACCAACCCCAAGCAACTGACGTCGCAGGGCTCCATCATGTCTTGAGAACCACTACCGCTCTTGACTAACGCTCACATGATCTCAAGGGTATCTTTCCTCTTTTCCACAGCTTCGAAATCATACCGGAGAACGCTCGGTGCACCCACTGTCTGCATGCTCTGGCTTTGCGGACCTTCTATGTTTTTCCCTGTGGTCACTTCTTCCACACAGACTGCCTAATGAATCTGGTGAGTCTAAAATGCCCTCCACCCCTCCCTCTCTTGAGATTTGGGGCATCAATCTTCTATGTTACTGGTGACCTGTCGTATGATTCTCAGTCACTCCCGAATCCCGTGTCCGACTTGACGCCCCTCTCCCGTCTGTTTGCCACGTGCGGTGCGGGTGCTCTCACAACACCCTCGACAAATGCCATTTCCGACCGAAAAGATGTGGGCTCCTCACGTAGATGTCAAACCATTACGCTACTGCCGGCCCCCGAGTGCCAACTTTCGACAGGAAAATTGGACTTCCCAAGGTCTGATGCGTAATGTTCTGGGTAGAAGACAGTTCCAGAAGCTGCGTTCATTACGTGTCAAATCAAGTCAGGCTACGAGACAGTCAAAAAGACAGGCTTACTCGGCACTAGCCTCGAAAACTCGCTCAGCCCATATTCCTTACTGCACTGACACTAGGTTCCGACGGTGACTGTAAGTCGTTTCCCCGCAGGCCTGATTTACCGACGCCCCTCCCGGGAGGCATCGTAAAGTCACAGTGACTTGGACATATCACGCGCTCTACCTCACTACGCAGGCTGCATGGAAGTAAGTCCTTTTTGGGGGACAGAGACCCGCGCCTTCTGCCCGAAATTCGACGGTTGACTTGCACAGCTATTCTCTGGTTGTAGCCCAGCCCTCCGCGTCAGAGGCCAGCCCTGTCGTCTGACCCAGTTGTGTTGTTTCTTGACACACCAACGTTGCACGTCCCCAGAACGCTATTCTTCTATTGTTGTGGCTCGTCCCTCGTAAGTGCGGACTCCCCACTGCGACCACCGTCCGTGTTCGCACGCCTTTGGATTTCGGCCGGTGTCCCTGTCCTCTGCGGCTCATTTGGTCGAGGTGCACACTCAAAGTTCGTCGCATGGAGGACTACACGACGGCCAGCTGGTGCTACCCGCGTCGCCAACCCTTGGCGGTCCATCCCGCCAATAGTTTCGGAATCCTAGACCGGTGTGCAGGCACTGCACGTCCCTCTAGTAAATCCGTCCCGGTGAACCCACCCACGCGTTCGCAGTCATCCACTGCCTCACGGGAACCACGTTAAACCTGGTACACAACGTGCAGGCTGGCCCCGCAGTAGAGCGTTCCGTCGGTCCTCTATACAGCAGAGCGCAGTGTAAATGCCCTCCAACGCGAACTTGCAAAAAGGCAGAATAACGGGATACTACCTTCCTGACCTTGGTCCGCGCATCGCCACTATTCGCTGATCAGTTAGCCTACCAGTGGCAGTCTAGTTGCGCCGCTCCATTGCGAGATAATTTATCCGAATTTAAACCCTCAGAAAAATTTTCTTCTGCGGTGGTTAATTTTACAAGACGTCATTTGCACAGGCCCTTCTTTATAGGTAAGACCCCACTTGGACCCACAAGACAACCTCAGGCTGTCGGAACTGTATACTATGACAGAGGCAGACAGCTCTGCAATACAACAGTTTAGAGTAAGTCCCCTGCACTCTTGAGGAAGTCTTTGCCGTGTTTGGAAATAACTTAAAAGACCTGGTTCTTCTTTTAGGCGCAGTTTGATGAACTGGTAGCCAAAGACTGCGTTCTGTGCGGGCAGGTGGCCATTGAAGACACCGACAGCCTTTTCTTCGCTAACAACGAGGCCTATCAGGCCGAACTGAATGTTTGGACATAGACAACATCAAATATTTCAGACTTGAATTTTTTCGAGAAAATACTGTACATATAAACAATTCAAAGTAATTGAAAACCAATAATCATTCAAGTTCGTGGTATCTCGCGAACATTGCCCTTTTGACGTTGTCTTTGTAGTTGTCAGCGGGCGGCTGCCTTTTAGAGGTCTTGATTCCTAGACCGACACCAGCTTCGCGGAATTCTGCTTCAACCAGCTGCGTCCTGCCTTGATTGGCTTTACCAAGTCCCTGTCCAGCCTGCCAACCCATTTTCTGCATCAGAAGACTGCCTACATTTGGAGCTGAAAAGGAGAGGCATGTTAAGTTTGCCAAAGGGTCGACGAAGCGCAGGAACCGCCGTCAAAGCAAGCACTACTTCCTAGAAAGCGTGTGTAGGCATACTCACTCTGGCAAATTAAAAAAAGTACGCGAAGCCAGTGGCAGAGGCAGTAAAGAAGTTTGTGTAGTTGCTCCAGTTTACACTAACACTACTCAGGATCGTTGACTGCTGCAATACTTGTGAACATAAATCCGGGAGGCAAGAGCCTTTGACGCTCTTGACTTCAGGAATGATTCGAAGGTTCAAAGGAGCTTACCATCGGCAGGCTGCGGCGCAACGGGCACGGGTTCCACAATGACTGGTGGGCCGGGTGGCGATATACTTCGCACATCAGCAGCGGCTGGTGGCATTATGCCGAACTTTTCACGCCGTTCTTTCGCCCTGTCTCGATATCTGCCGCCACCGGAGGTAGGGGAAGTGTTTCCGGTGCCCTGACGACTTGCGACCGTTTTGGCGTGGTTACTCGCGACGGCAGCGCCCATCTGCATGAGGGACTCGATTGTTAAAGATTGCGACGGTTGATCTGCCTGTGGGACACTATTGGCAGACTGCGGAGCGGCAGTCGAAGTTGGTTTCAGGCCGTACTTGGCACGAAGCTTGTTGAAATTCTGAATATGAAGGTTGGAAAAGCTCCGGTGTTTTTGCATTGTTTCAACGTCTTTGAAACCGCGGGAGCAGAGTAGACAAGCCAATTTGGACCAGTCCATTAACCTTGCGTAGTAAAAAGTACATAATGGTGTTATCATTGTTTTACCGACGAGAGCCAAGCAGTTTTGCGCTAATATGCGGGACGCCCACACTTACTTTGACTCCTCGGCAGCCGCTTGGGCCTCCAATTCCTTAGTGTCATGCGTTTGTGGATTTTCCGCCTCTGCATGGTTCGATTCATCACTATCCTCACCACCGTAGTGGGCAACCAGACCGGACGCACTAGTGCTTGGCTGATTCAGTAGAGTGGACGATGTGGCCTGTAAAATCGCATATCCGGTATCGGCGGTCTTGCTGGTTTCGTTCTAAATGAAAAGCAAGGTCGGTTGCAGCGAAAAGTGCGACCCCCTATTAAACCGCGATACTTGGGTTTGAATCCCTTGGCAAATTATGACTGGAAAGACTTACAGTTGTTGCTTCGTTGCGGCCGACCGTTGCGAGTGCCTCCTTTTGGGAATTCATCCGTTTTGCCCACTTCTCCATTTCTTTGGCCACCTTTTTCGCCGCCTTTTCCTTCCGTTCTTTCTCCTTCTTTTTAACCGGTTCACCCTCTTCAGTAGTCTTGGGCGCCCCAGCCGAAGCATCCGGCATTTGCGGGAGTGCAGCAGCATTCACCATCGCAGCTACTTGCGTGGCTGGAATATAAGTGCTTCGAGACGCTTCGTAGTAGAAATATTCTTGTGAGGCCCGATCAAAGAAGTACCGAGTATTCGGCTCGTAAAGAAGCCCTGTCACGGGGTCGTAGTAGAAACGTATGGTCTCGTCGTACAGGAATTTGGATGTGTCCGGAAATGCTAGATAAAGCAGCATGGTAAGTAACGTAGTCAAACCAACGACTAAATAGCTTTACATATGGCAAACTTACGATAGACAGTGGTGGCTGCAGTTGCGGCATTGAAAGGCGTGGTGGGCAAAGGAAAGGCGGCAACGGTAGCGGCCGTTTGGGTAATGTCTCCGGGTTGGTGGATCGACTTTGCAATAGCGGATGCAATCTGTGCCTCCGTTTGCTTTTGCTGAATGGCTGCCTGTGCAACGGCAATCCCATCCATTGAGTTGGTATACTGGCCGGCGGCGACAGCGTTCTTTGCCACAGTGTGAGAATCTATGGCATTCGTAGCTGCACTGCTCAATTCACTGGACAGTGAGCGACTGGCGTTTAACTTAGCATTGTACGACCCCTCTGCCTTCAATGTTGCCATTATCGTACTGGAAACAGAAAAGTGCAGTCGTTACAAGGATGCAAAAAACAACCCTGTGATACTGAATATGTACTTGACAGACTTACTTGAAGGTATTTTTCGCGTAACTAACCGCAACGGCCTTTCCTTCGATTTCAAATAGCTGGTGTTCCCTAACTATCGTGTCAACTACTTTGTAGGCGTCGGCGACGTTAGGGAGTTCGGCAAATGCAAAACACCGAGAAACGTGGGTAACGTCATCCCGCATCACGTGACACTGACGAACCTTGACGTCAGCTATGTCTTGGAACGCTTGACGAATGCTGTCTTCGGTTGTTAGTGCATCCAGGCAGCGCAAAATGAGTGCTGAAATGTATAAACGCCCAGAATTCCTGAACGGTTTGGGACAGATACGATCACAAATACTGACAAGTACAGACGATCGAAACAGACCTAAATTGAAACGCGCAACAGCTTTCTAACAAAACAGGCAACCGTTTAACAAGCAGTCGCGACAGCGAACTGTAAAAAAGGCTTTGTGCTACGCATCCCCTTTGAAAATACTTCAAGTATTGACCACTCACAAGGCCATTGGCAGTCTTAGTCTGCATCACTCCGCAGCCACCTGCATCGCAAATGAGACACTGAGCCGCAACATAACTATGATTTTGAGCGACTAACGCTTACGGTTGGCATACACTCTGAAGTCGATGCTCCGAGAGCGTCATGAGTGCATCGACCAATGACTTTTGCCAATGGATAACAGCGAGGACAAATCACAAGCAGTAAACGAGAACTACAATTTGTTAGACTAACTATAAAGAATAACAGCGTTGTGACACAAGCAAACATCAAGGCCCTACTAGCCAACACAAAACGCAAATGTAAAACAATACCCCATGGACAGGGTCACACTACTTACTGTTGCAGGGTGTGGCTCCAATGAGGTCTGACCCGTCAGATGAATTAGCCACAGTCTGGCTCTGCGATCGTGGCAACTGACACCGATAGCACTGATCGCGACGTCTGAAGTTGTGACTTGAGCACTAAAGTGATACCAATCAATTGGGGTGCGAGCCCGTTAGCACATATCAAACATCTGGATGCACATAATCACGAGGCAAAGGAATAGACAGGCTGGAGGACTGGTGGACTAGGAGGGCCGCTCGAAACCAGAGCGCGAAAAGACCAGTACATGATGCAGAAGTTGATACCCACCCTGGAGCAAATCCAGTCGCCAGTGCTCACATCGTTCGGTGGGCCAAATCTGCTTGAGAGTGCAGGTATTACAGGCCTTCCGGTGGAGGGAGCCTCTAAATTCCTACCCATTTCGGGCGGGTATCTTGGAGAACTGAACATCAGACGTAGGTCATTCCGACGAACACGCAAGACCTCCTAAAATGAAAACCGCCTGGATAAGCAGAGAACGACTGCAACTTTTCCGACCGGAACCATAGCCAAAGGCATTACTCCATAAATGTGCATGAAAGGAATTCACATCTAGGGAAACCTGATTTCAGGCCGGAACGACGGTTTACTTTTTGGATCTCCATCCACTGCCTTGCTTCCTCGACGGAAGCGAATTCGATAAAACCGAAGCCTCTGGATAAACCTATTGAAAAGAAGAGCCGACAGGATTATATGAGCTCCGGTATTTCAATATAAGGAGAAATGATAGAAAAGCCCATCCGCCGTGGCAGCGCAGATCCGTGATCTGAGAGTGAACGTCCTTCGATCCTCATAAGCAAATTGGCTGAAGGGATATCAGTTGGCGCCTTCCTGAAAACCTGCTTTCAGTGATGCGGATTTAAGTGACACTCCGCTGGCGGTAAGTCCGTGCGCGTTTACTGGAATACATGGGTTGCGCGTAACAAAATTTACACGTATATGATTCACCAGGTGCGGTCGAACCGGGAGTAGACATGTCTGGAAGGTCAACGCGTAGGATCGCACGCTCAGTGTGGCCTGGACAGTCAGCATGCAGACGTGACCGGCGGACTTCTGGAAGTAACATCATCCAGGGCGCTTGCTCTTCGCCGAGGTAATCAGTACATTAGCCGTACTGGCTTGATTTGACAGAATTGAAGCAGTACCCTTCGGAGTTTCGATTTTAATTGCCGGCAAAACGGCATGTGCGTACAGCAGAGCAGTATCGACGTGGACTTCAATCGACTGGTAGGACTTAAGCATCCATCGCAATAACAGTTATTCGCCGCATATGCCTCAGGACCGTTTAGGAGCTTGACGACTGGGGTGCAGCAGATAAAGATATGTCCAGGTACTGGGAGAAAGTAAATCAATTCACATATGGACAACAGGACCGCTGGCACGAGATCGATTTTGGTCTGATTTTAGACCGGACTCAGTTTCTGGATGACTTGTATGCAGCAACTACTTCAGTCGGACGGCCGGTAAGGCCGAGAGTCTCTAGATGGTCAGTCCCCTATCTCCCATGTACGTCCATTCAGACGTCAAGGTTAGTTGGTAAAGAGTACAGACTGACAGGCGACCAAAAACATCTGACGACTCTAACTTCCTTGCTTCTAGCAAAGTTATGTAATGAATAAAATGAGCGCAGGTAGGGTAGCGTCCTCTACCCAGAAATGGTGCGTAAAAACAAGACGGGTAAGCGGACAAAATCAGAAAACAGTTTTTCAATCTAAGAAGGTGAAACTATCTTTCATTTCAGCTCTAAACGCAGAGCATGGCGGTACACCTGTGACTGGCATCATGGGGGGCAGGCAGGTGGGCAACAGTCTTGCTTGAAATGAAGGGCCTTCAAATAAGGAAGAACGGGGCATTCAAGTCGTATGACTCAGCTTAACTAACCTCGTGAGGTTGGCTGCTAGTGACCAGAGAAAGGCGCTAATTGCGCCGTTGTTAGGACGTTTCACAGTGATTATAGTAAAAGCGCAAAAGCAACGAGCCCGTCTAGTCTGAAGGAAAAGTTGGAACTATAGTCTGCCTCAAAGCGTTTAGTGGTCTACAGCCTGTCAATACAAGTGCTCGCGGCCTCAATTCAGAGGGCTCATTGTTTTTGGTGCGACTACTGGTACACACTAGCCTGAAAATGGAACCCCGATGGGATCTGAGCCCAAGCCGTAAACGTACCCAGATGCTCTGATACCAGAACTATAGGTATGCTTAACAGTGGGGAAAAAAGACCCATAAGTGTATACATCAATACAAAGGAGCCGTACTTCCCATGTCCGTGGTATAATGCCTGCAAGTGAAGAAATGTCATTTTAGTCCGAAAACTCGACAAGAAACCAGCAAGTCGATGAAGGCCGACTAAAGTAGTTCCAGCAGTTTTAAGGGTCAATATCCATAAAGGAAATATAGGAATCGAAACTCAAGCATGCGCCAAACTCACCTGTATTTTTATCACGAATGACGCGCACGTCCACGTAACGTACACCGTCCCTCTCAAGAACGTCGATCACCTAAACCCGTTAATATCATAAAACGCCAACATACGTCACGTTCGTCAAGAGATGAGGGCAATCCCCTCATCATAATGGTCGACGATGGAGGCTCCGAACGTCCGCCAAATTTCGAATTAGATGGAAATGGGGGTTGTTGCTGAAATCTATCCTCCTCTCGATCATCTCTGGGTGCACTAAAGTTCATCTTCACGCTGTATCCACGGATTTCTAATTCGCCCTGAATATGAAGTTGTTGGGAGAATTTCAAGGATTTACGTGGCAATCCCTCATGAACCTCCGAGCATCATCCGGAGAGCAGAAATCGACAAAGGCCATTCCCTTGGAAACGCCAGTCTTCCTGTCCTTTACTAGACGTATGTCGGTGTAACGTGCTCTCTCGTCCTCAAGTGCATATCTTAGCTATTATAGAAAAAAGTAGTGTATGACGTGTTAAATTACATCGCGCTCGCTGATAGATGTGGACATTCCGCGCAAAATAATTGTGGAGGTAACCGTATCCATTGTCCTTAGAAAAGGGCTTCGAGCACGAGGCCTAGGAACTATTAGAGCTAGTGTTCGAAACATTACATTCCATTGTTCATGTATGGTCTATCGTCATCACATTCTCGTTGATGATATCGGAAGCCATCATAAGGGTCCATAGTCAGCGCTAAGTAAAATTATGGAGCTACAGCCAAAGTTAATTTAAACAAACTTTATTCAATCTGACTCGAAATTGTGAAATCACATCCTTGGTTTCGGTACATATTCCAAATTGTTGTGTCCTCTAACGCCATATAAGCGTATTACTAACACTGACGCTGTTGACCGAACTGCGGGCTTGGCTTATTCGATGCGCAGTCAATACTGACTACTGAATTCTCCATCTGTCACACAAAAACCACCAGTCTCGGCAATATCAGAAGGCAATCCAACTATTGTCCTGATCAAAAGTAATTACTGGCGCGTTAAAATATGTACACTCAGACAGACCAAGGTATCACAGTAGCCGCATGAACACCATTCCATGGATCCCCTACCTGGTTCTTGAAATGTGGGAGTCATAATTATGACCTACACATAGTCTGATTTTCCGCTTTAACAGCCTTACCACAGTAAATCAATGGCTGTAGAATCCCCACCCGTCTGTCCCCGATATTGCTCTGTATTTCTGCTTATTCAGGACTATCCGATCCAAATAATCAGTGCGTGCACGAGAACACTCTTTTCTACTTCCAAGATGGCATTAAGGTTTCGCATAGCACATTTGTTCAAAGCAAAGGTTTCGAACAGACGGCCACACCATTGGTGTCGTCGAGTGAACTGACTTTGAAAGTTTGCTTCACCAACAGCGCTAAAGATGACTTTCCGAAAGTGCGTCTTATCTCCAAACCCTGCAACATTACTGCTGGCACCTGACATACATTCACTAAAAAACACGAGCAAGGGGCTTATTCCAGGGTGAGTTTACTTGGACGACTTTCTGCCCCGTTGCAAGCATCAGTTATGTGTCTATGGGGGTATTTTGTTGATTAACCTTACTTTTCTTTAAATTCCTGCATTTTTGAAAATCGGTCTAGACAAAAATGAATGATCTAGTAAGAGTGGGTCTTCACATTCGCTTGAGTAAGTGGGACAGAGCTACCTCGTCCATAGTGGAAATGCAAACTGTGAAATTTTCAGTCCGATGTTATCTGCAGCGCGTTCAAGGCCGTCAACTGTTCTTATAAGGTTAATCATACTACTGCTGTATACTGTGCGGATGGCAACACGCCGTTATAATTCATTTTTTAGTTTAATTTAATTTATTAAATGCCAGTTTACAGGCATTGTCAAGGGAAGCGATTAAACACAAATCCGACCAGCAGTGAGAAAAAAACTCCTGAAGAATAAAAATATAGTTGAAGATGGTTTTTATGGTTTGAAGGGTTCAGGAGAAAAAAAACTGCTGGCGCCATACATTCGA